ATAACATAAGGAATACAAAATTATACAGTGAACACAATGATAAAAGGAGAGAATGATAAAACCAAATAATAAAAAATGAAAAGAACGAGTAATGAAGTAAGAATACCAATATAAATTATGTGCGATATATGCACTATATAGTAAGGTATCGAATCGTAAGGTGACGAATTTTAGGTTGGTAAATTACTACTACTGAGGAAGTGAGCTGTATAGAGTTTCAATGTTCTACCTTGAGGATTTTGTAATGAAAAATATTAAATTAAAATAGTCAGAATTTAGCATCTTACTGTAGAACTTTTCTTTCATCTTCTCGAGAAACTTTGTTTTTTAAGTTTTCAGTTTTAGGTTCTGATGCAAGAGTTCAAACCCAGCTAAGTTATATGCATTTATTACTATCATTAAGTATTTATTTTGCACTCTCTGAAGTTTTAAAATACTATTTTTAGAAGATGTAATCCATGCAATGCTAGTGTAACAAAGAATTGACCTAACAGTGAATAAATAGATTAGCGTTTTCTTGTGCAAATCAAGATGGGATTTTCCGATAATTGGCAGTCCAATGTGTATAACTCTCTTTGCTTTATTGTAAGCATTTTTAATTTACTGTTTATGGTTTCCCCATTGCAGTTTGTCTTACTGATTTTCAGGACAATTTATGAATATCAAATTTCTTTTTGTGAGCATTCGAGATCCATTATTTCAACAAATAATGAGAAGTTGAGATTTTTGTATGTTAATTTTAATGCACTAGTTTGTGAGTGCCAGTCTTGGATGAATAGAATATGATTTTGCAGTTTGTTAATTGCATGGCTGGTATTTGCGGATTTGACAGCTATTGCCGCCTTGTTAGCGCAGCATGCAAGATGCGAATGTAAGTGAGATCCGATTTAGGAAAAGCAACAATATGAAAAAATTAAATAGTAGAGTTAAATATTGAGCCCTATGAGACATCAGCTGTGATTGTATCTAGTATTAGACTGCACATTTCTGAGATCATGAAGCATCTATTTTCAAGAAAAGGAGAACTAAATAAAATAATTTCATATTCAGTGTTGACACAAATGAATTGGTAGGTAAGCTGTTTATGCAGATGTGATTGAAAGCCTTTACAATGTCTAGCATGATAAAGGTAGTATTTTGTTTATTGTGCAACACTGCTACGGGAAATTTCATAGTGCAGACTAATTCCACTACATTTGTTAATTCCAAATTGCTAGGTATTACTGAATTCTTGAAACCCAAATTGCTAGGAAGGTAATGAGTGTTTAAAATGTTAACAATATAGTGTCATTTTGCTTTATTTCAGTCCTACATGTCAGCAGTATATTATGCTCTATATGTGGGCATATCCTGCCATTATGGACTCTGGCCAATCTCCTAACTGTTCTTTCAGGTGTTCGTGTCCTGCTGTTATATTGATTTCTCCACTTTATCTTTTTTGTACACCAGTGTATGTTTATTAGAATTTTTTAAATTCTAGCTGCTTGTGTGGCTTGCTGCCTAAAACTCTTACCATAATCTATCTATCTATCTATCTATATGTATATATATATATATGTATAACAATTTTAATGACTCCAACTATTGTCATTTCTTTAAAATATTTAATGTTTCTAATTAGACATCTCATGATTTAAGTGCATTTTTATTTAAATCAGTTTTTAAAAGTACAAAATTATTCCTTTAGAACTGCATTTATTGCCTTTAAATTGGTTAGTTTCTTGCTCTTTAACAGACAGATTAAATCTGAAAATAAATATATCTTAGGCTTCCCTGAATGGCAACATGCTGGCATGTGGCAGATAAATGTATTTTATTTCAGCCAGTGGCAACACATTGCCCTCAAATAGCTGAGTTTATTGATTAAAATTGAAGATTGTGAGTGCTAACAGTGTAGCATGAACAGTGTTGCCAATCCTTTCAAATCATGGATTTTTTTAAATAAAAAATTCATGAAACTCATCCCAAATATGAAATTTAAAAAATTCAGAATTCAGGGTGCACATATTTGGGTTTGCAGCACTATGTGTGTTCAAAATTTGGTGGTCTATGTACCATTATTTTTCTGTGATGCAATTAATTTCAAAAGACAAATGTATTGCATTCTGCTGAGCGGCAGTATGCTTTTCTTGTAAATCTGAGATTTATGATTAAATCTGAAGCATAAATATCTTATGCTTTCTAGAGTGGCAATAGAAAACTTTTAAATTGCTGAACTTTTAATCAGAAGTTTGTTAAATTCCCATAAAATGCGAATTAAAGGAGAAAAACTCAAAATTTGAACTTCAACGTGCGCATGTTTGGGTGGAGGACAGCCTGTATGTTCAAAATTTGGTGCTTGTCAGTGCTGCATTTTTTCCATAGTGCAAGAGACATACATACATATGATTTCTCTTTATTTAATAGTAGAGGTATAAATCATTTTAAATTGAGAGACATTCTTTTAAATCTGTTTTCACTTCTTTTTTAAGTATGCTTCAAAAACTGAAATGCTTTTTGAAACTGAATTTTACATGAAATAACAATATTTTTTGTAAAATTTATATGTCAAGTTAATGTTCCCTTATCTCAAATTATGTCATTTTAGATAAAAATATTTTTTGTTAAATTTATATGTCGGGTTCATGTTCCCTTTCCTCAAAGTATTTCATTTTATGTATCATGTGGTCTTTTTAATTTCTAACCTATTGTATTTGGTTTTGGACTCTAGAATTTCATGCTGTAATAATAGTCAATTTCATGCTGCTTTCTTATTTAATTTGTTAGTAAAGAACTCATTGTTTTCTTCTATCGAATGCTCTTAACTTTCTTTGTCAATACCATGTTATCATCATGTGATGATTGGATGTATGGTTATATCATGTCAGTGTTAATTTTCAGATATCATTATAAGATAGTCTTCACTAGGAAGGGAAGCTAAATCTTTAAAAGCATCTTGTAGATGTCTTATTAATGTCATAATTTATCTGTTTATATCCTGTTTAATATGTTGGGTTGGAACAGCCCCCTATTTTTTTAGTAAAATAACTTTTAATCATTTACACAATAATAATTCAAAGTGCTTTACGCTGTCATTTGTACAATGAATTATTTGGCTCACTAAATTTCAGATGCTGAATTAGTTTTGTGATTTTTCAGGAGTTTTTAAAGGAAATGAGCACTTAAATTTGTTGTCATTGTTTATTGCAGTGAGTGGGTGTGTAATAACTTCATATAAACAGTGCTTCAAGAATCAGAATTACAAATGTGGATTGCATAATAATGTTTGAAGTAACTTGTTAAGTAAGACTTTGTCACATAGAGAGTGAATCAAAACCATGGCCACATATTTGATCACACCATATGATAACATCATTATTGCTGTGGGATTTTGAATTATTTGATTACAGTAATGCATACTGTTATGGCTATGCAAAATAAGATAGTGCTGTTAAAAAGTCAGTTCTTCAAAGTAAAGAGCAGTACCAACCAGACTCACTTTGTTACATTTTTCTATGGGCTATTTATCAAAAATTTTGAAAATTCATTGGTATTGCTGCATTAAATGTTATTGCTAATTCATTCTGATTTTTTTCCCTGGCTATACTGCGCCATTTCCTTCAATTTCTAACAGTTGATGATAGCAATAATGAAGTTCAAACAGCTTGTTCTTAGTCTTATGATCCGCAATCATTTTGATATGCAGTCTTCTACGATGCAGCTATAAATTGCTGTGGCATGTTCAAACCAGTGACATAACCTTAGACATGTTATTAAGGTATTTCGCCCTCCTTCTTAGCATGCCTTCGTAGTGCAGTGGTCAGCATGCTCAGTGCGTATTCAAGAGCCCCGTGGTTTGAGTCCTGGCGAAGACGTTGCTCATTTTTCATCTCTCCTGCTTCTAAAATACCTAATGTCTCTACAGTGGCACCCGAACTAAAAAAGGTGGTGGATGATGAATCTCCATCACCAGGATTTTGTGATTGGGTTCCTTTATCCCCAGTCGCCCTTTAAAAGGGGGAGTATATAAGGTATTTCTTGCACCTTCTGACTTGTTTTAGTGTCGACCTCGGTGTATTCGAGAGGTCCGTGGTTTGAGTCCTGGCAAAGTTGTTGCTCATTTTTCAGCTCTTCTCCTTTCAAAAAAAAAAAAAAAAAAACTTTTTATCTCTACAGTGTGACTGATTTGAAATGATAAAATAAAGTTTCAAGCTTAATAAATAATTTCCGTTTGCAATATATAGTTATGCACTATATTTTTTGGAAGTGTGTAGTCATATTTCTGACTCATCCTATATTGTTACTGTAAAAATGCCCATCTGAAGATTTCATTCAGCTCGTTCTCTTTCTTTTGAGATGATTTATTTATATGGCATTTAATAGTAAAAGGCTTACTTCTGTCACTCATGATTTCACTTTTTTGCATAAAAAAATATGCTGTGTAATTTTCAATATATCCTCTTAGGCTAGTATTCCTGCTGTTTGTATTTTTTAAGTCGCTCTTAATAATATTGAAATATTGCATGTATGTAACATAAATTACTTGATAATGATAGGTTGATTGTACTTGTGGAAGTTTTTTTCTTTTATTTCTTCATATGTTACTAGCTGCTAATTGTTCTAAGCTGTGTGAATTTGCTTTCAGTACGCATATATATAGCTATTTGTTTCTGTGCAATTGTGGTTTGATAGTAAGGCAGTTTTTTATTATTTATATCATTAGTTTCTTATTTTTACCTTTAATTTTAGAAGATTTAGTTTTTATGCCTGATCTGATATTATTTACATAATGATGTAGAAGTTCTTGCTCTGTATGTTGTCTCATGCTGAACATGCTCCCACCTCTTGTATTTAGTTTTTAAGCCAATGCTTAATTCTGGATATTATTCATTTCAGTATAAAAAGTGGAGCAGGACATAATATATCTGGCCTTTTTTCGCTTGATAATGTTTTCAATGTCTTGAACATTGTGTATGTGTATGGACCTTGTTACTTCTGTAATAAATGTTCTTTTTTATTCTAGTGGCCAATTAAACTGATGTCTCATCATGTCAAGGAACATTTATTACAGAAGTAAGTGTATTGCTTTCTCCCCTTATGGGTATGTTGCTTATTGTGCAGTCTGATTTCATATGTCCATAGCTTACTTGAAGCTGTTTGTTTGTGTTTTGTGCATTAGATCTGTTGCTAAATTCTTATGTTGCTTTTAATGTCAATGAAATTCCTTTTCTATGCAAATAGAAATATTACAGCAGTTTCTGTTTAGTTGGGTAATCTTGGTTTCTGGTTGTATATGTACCGTGTTGTTGTATAGAGAGTTTAGTTATTTGGGCGATGTGTTTAGGCAGTTGAAATAGAGCTACCTGCATTCAGCTGCAAAATGCATTTAATATGCATTGAAATTAATATCTAAATATGGTTGTCTGGCTTGCATTTTAGATACATATGCGTAATACCATATTTTTCCCCCTTTTCCAAAGGATGCAATCACATTAAGAATATAACAAATGAAAAGCAGTCATGGATAAACTCCTGATAAATGTTTACAATAGTATTTCTTTAAATTAAATATACATTCTGATAACACATTGGAATATTAACAATAGCTAATAAAATATGGTTTCTGTTTCCTTGTATCTTGACCATCACCGCTCTTATTGTTGTCTACTGCTACTTCATAGGCCTCAAATTATTTAATGCTGCTGGAATTGCTGTCTGTGTCATCTGCTACAGCTTATAGGTTGTCGCCATTCAATATGTCTTCCCATGCACATTGATCTTAAAAACCATTAAGAAAATTAGATATCCCAATTTTCTTGAAGCTATTCTCTATTGTAGCTTTATCATTCAGAGCCCATACATCTGAAATCCACGAGCAAATCAATTAATAAGATGGAAACATCCTCACTAAGGATGGATTTATTTTAAAATTTAGGAAATTTTTTCTTTTTGCGAAAGCTAAAATTTTGTAAATACTTAAAAAATATTCAGAACCTTGTGCTAAAATATGCTAAGGAGAAAATTATGTGCAGGATGGGACGAAATAAGCAAGTAAATATGGTATGTTATGAATACAGAAGATTTTTATCATCTATATTAAGTTTTATCTTCATTAATGCTTTCATTATGCATTTTGCATTGTAATACTTCATAGAGATGATATTTTTTACTTTATATAAGTCTTAACACATTGTATGCGGGTATATTTTGCCGCTGACTTTTCCTCGTGTAGCCGACATTTTTTCATGAATTTCGAGCGAGTTTGGTCATTGATTAAAATCGCAATAAATCAATACATACTACAGTGCCCATCGTATTTATACAATACCTGTTGTCTAGCACTGATCTACTAAATACATACTTTTATGCAGCTTGTGATGTAGTGATAGACTGCAAAATATGTAAAAGTATGTTCTCCGCATGCAGTGTGTTAATTAAGATAATATTTATTTTTAAATACTGGATAATATTTCTGGTTTGTATGTCAGATCTAGAGAAATGTAAGTCAGTATTGACCAGTTTAGTCTATGATAAGGTATTATAAGTCATTCCAAGCAAATTCATATTAAATGTTAGTTCACTTTCACTTTTGTCACTGCAGAGACGTTAAGACATTATTTCTATATTCATGTGCATTCTAAAGAAACTGTAGTGTGTCTTTGAGCAATTTATATTTTTCCAGTATACCTGTACTTTTTCTTCTGGTAGATAATTTGGCTATGATGTAGTTGCATTAGTTTGTTTGGAGCTGCTTGTTATACATGCATACTTTAGTTATTAATGAACATTAACCACTTCACCATTTCCCTCAAGACAGACACGTTTATTTCAAAAGTGTCATCTGTAGATTTGAAACGTAATAAATATAATTCTGGTACTGTATTATATGTACACACTCATGCATACATACATATACATATATACATGTTGTAATGGCATGTATAATACATATTTTACATAATTATCTAGGTATTTAAAGTGGCTGACCTTTTGATATATTTAAGTTATTAAAATTGTTCAAAGCTACTGACGACATTTTTTTTCAAATTGAAGAGTATGTCTAGGGAAAAATAATCAAGCGGTTAATATCATGCCATGGTTTTCTGTTCCACTTTCTGCTGTTCAGGTTGTGAAATAACCAGACGTGCACCCACAAAGCTGATTATACAAGTTTCCTACCTTAGAAAGTTAGTTAGTATTAAACCTATCCCTTAATGAGCAAGGAGCATGGATGGCAAGCCTCATCTTTGAATGGGTCTTGCAAAGCTTAGGTACAGTAGTTAACTTTTCTCTTAGAGCAGTCTAAGTTTGCAGTTAAATATTATAGTGCTGCATTCTGATCTTGCAGTCAAATCTTCTTGTACTCCATTTAGCTGAGACATTTCTGCTGACGTAAATCTGCTGACTGCATGGGGTTTTGTGTTTTCCGCATATGTGACATAAACAGAAGCCAATTTTCCATTAAAAGCCCTGCACAAACACAACTCATTGCATTGGTGGACAACTGTCAGATGCATTACCAAAAATCAGTAACTGTGCATGAGATAATCTAATTCATATAGAATTTGTACTGGTTATTGTAACTGCAATACTTCTTGCTATTATAATATTGGTTTTTTGAAATTTTCATGTATGCATAATTAGTTAAATTTTTGTGGTATTCTAGCATGAAGAAGCATTAATCTTTTACATATTAGGAATAGTATAATCACTTTTACTGTAACTAGTATTATTTTAGCAACAGTAACACATTTTCTTTAATCCTGAAAATATATTTCTTTATTATCAGTAATAGCTACCGGTAATAATGGCAAAGAGTGCCACCTGACCAGTGCGATAAATTAATTATAAAAATGTGTAGAAAATCTCCGATAGAAAATCATTGAGTATTATAAAAATATGTTATCAAAGATTTCCAAACAAAAATCCCATAAGAAGGTTTTAAAAAATTGGATAGAGCAGTTCATTGAATATATTACAGCATTTTGAAAATTTAAAAATTTGCATTAGAAAAAATTTAATTGGCTTGGGAATTGATATCATATCTACTCCAAATGACATGAAAGTTGTAGTGATGCAATGACGCTGATTTTTGCAGTGATGCTAATTTAACCCCTTCGAGCCGGGTAGCGAAAACGCGCGCTTATCGCGGAGGCCCGCAGTGTGTTCCGCGAGCGTCTCTCCAGGGCCTGGGGCTTTTTGCTACTAAGCCTAAATCCATGAAATTTCCGAAGTATCAACGCATTGTTTAATAATGCTCTATAGAGTATTTAAACAGCTTATGCTTTATAGATATTTTTATATATATACTTTAATTACCTTATTTCTTGTTTAAATGCATATTTTACACATTTTATTTTAATTACTTACCATTTTATGACTTTTAACATTATACATCTGAAAACAAAATATATTACTTAAAATTCTCTTTTTGTATGAAAAATTTGAAAACAGGGATCTACACACAGTTCTACGTTATATTCCTTGAACTCGTAATAACTCATTTGCCGTTTTGGAGGATTTTTCCAGGAATGTGAACAAACAAAGCATCGTCGTCTCTTCTGAACAAAGTTTTGGAAAATGTCTTTCAGTTAATCTTTCAGAATCAATATCTGAAATATTTTGCATCATTTCTGCTATTTCATGCTCTGTTAAACATTTTCGACATTGAAACGGTAAAAAGAAAGAATTCACGTCTAACAACATCCAATTATTTTCTAAAAACTGAACTGTAAACCTAAATACTCAACGCTTTAGTACATATAAAACTTCTACTTACAATAAACAACTACCACGTGCGAATAAAGTGCGATTTAAAGAGACGTCATAAATCACGCCATTCGAAACATTTAGTTTCCTGTTTGTTTATATAATCAAAAACACGTGTATGTGAGTCATGCTTCTCTCATTTCGAGTAGAAGGTCTAATGTACATGTATCTGAAACCATATGGACATACAGTGCCATCTTGTGGCAGAAATTATAGTTTCTAAAACGTTCCAGGGTACTGGCACAAATACGTGACAGTCAGTAGTAAACGGGAAAATGCTCTGGCATGCCTGCGTGTCGGCCGGTAGGTGAGTGTGTTCGTTGCTGGCATGTAGACGTGACAGTCGGCGCGAAGGGGTTAATTGGTATAGGTATGCCACTAAAATTGATGCTACATATTTCAGTGTCACTATTAGAAGGTGTTCCCAATTTATAGTTCATTACCCAGCATTAGTAACCAACATTGTTTCACTTTCTCATTGCACACGTGTACTGTATATTACTTTTATTGTGTTCAAATGCAACTCTAAGCTATGTGATTTATGTTATTTGTATATATTTCATTGCAAAATATATATCATCATTTTGTGAACTGAGTCCCTGTTTTTTGCCGTCACCAAATTTTAATAACTTGTTTATTTTAATGACTGGGAATCCACAGTTACATTTCTGGGAATTTGGTAAGAACAATGTTCTATGAACTCAAGGGAAAATTATGTGAAATTTGTATTCCATTACCTCAAAATAAAGCTGAATATTTAATGAGGCTCTATCAGTTTGCAAGAATATCTGTATTGCACCTGATAACAGATTGTCAGTATCTTTTTCTAGTATTTGTTATTTGTGATGTATCTGATTGTACTTTAGAATAGGCAGTTATAAGCTTCAATGTAGTAGTTAAAATGATGATGAGGAAAAAAAACATGTATAGCCATTGTAAATTTCATCACTGAAGTTGTATCTCCAGAATATTAGTTGATAATTTTAACCTTCTGAACAGTACATGTTATGTACCAATTGCTACCGAGATGTTTATCAGCAGATCACATGAAAATGTGTCACATTGAGAATGAATATTAGGTGAGTTGCCAAAGCAGAATAATGTGGCAGATTATAATTAAAAGAATAAGAGAAAGGCAGCATAATTACTCATATTTTGTAACTCCTTTGTAACTGAGAAGAATTTAATAAAAATTGCAAATGCGGTTTGTTTATTATAGTACAAAAGATTACTATAACTAATTTAATGATAGGAATAATAGAATGAGGATATAAAAATGATGCAAAGTTTAAATGTCCTCACTAATAAAAGTGATGAAAATGTTACTGCTATGCTTGCAATGAAGGTTTTTTTAGTGCATTCATCTTTGCTAACAGAGTGTCATCATGAAGCAGTTAAAGAATGATCACCTTTCAGAAAAATTAACGTATTGTGTACAAGCAATATTTCTAAATTATAACTGCTTTTTCATTATAGTATTCTTATTGATGTTTACTATCAGTATTAAAAATGATTGGGATTTTTTTTATTCATATTACTGGTGATGGCCAAAATCAATAATTTTTGTAATTTGTTGTACACAATGAAATGCTATAGGTTGTTTTTAATCGTGAAAGGTGAATATAGTGATTTTTATGAATATTGTTTATTATTGCAGGTTTTAGCTGCCACAGATGTGGATACCGAAGATTCTTCTCTGTTTTTCATTTTAACTGAAGCGCCTCTGTTTGGAAGCATTGTGCATCATAAACAGAAAGTGAATCGTTTCACTCAAAAGGATGTAATGAATGGTGAGGTATGATGTGTTCAGACTTGATTTCTTTTGGTTTTAAATGAGAGAAAGGGGTCCAAAAGTGCAAAGTGCATCATTAGAATTTTGTAGAGGTGGGGTTGATAAAGAGGGAAATCTACTGAGAGGAATAATCATAATTGAATATAAAAGAAAGTAAACTATATTGTATGCTCTGTAAAAAAGAGAGATGAGTATTCTACTTTATGATTTTTAGTATTGGTACTTCTCATCATGATGTCCTATTTCAGTCTTTCTGACGTTAGACTTTAGAGACATTAGGAATTTTTTGGAGGCAGGATAGATGAAAAATTAGCAATGCCTTTGCTGGGAATCGAACCGCGGAGACTCGCTAAGAAGGTGGGAGAAATACCTTATATACTCCCCCTTTTAAAAGGCAACTATGGTTTTTAGGGGACCCACTGCCAAATCCTAAGTGAGGAGAATCATCATCCAACACCCTTTTTAGTTCAGGCGCCACTGTAAAGACATTAGGAATTTTTTGGAAGCGGGAGATAAAAATCGCCGGGAATCGAACCGTGGACCTCTCAAGTACATACTGAGCGTGCAGACTGCTACACCACAAAGGCTCGTTAAGAAGGTGGGAAAAAATTATTAACACCTCTAGACTTTCTAGAGGTGTGAACAAAAAGTGTACCTCCTGTTTTCTTTCCTTCTGAAAAAGTTTGTGTGAGAATATCAGCAATTGTGTTGTTTCAGTCTTTTCCCAATTTTTTCTCCTTCACTGCAGTTGGTAGGGAAATGATGGGGGAGGAGCATGTGTTTAAAGAAAGAGGCAAAACAAAATGGTAATGTGAACTTTACCATGTACTGCTAGTAATGATCTAGTAATCTAGGATCTAGGAATGTGCTAGTAATCTAAAAATCTGCTAGATCAAGGAATCTGCTAGTAATGATCATCATATTATTTATTGCATTTCTAGTTACATCATATTATCACTTTAATTATTTGATCTAGAAAACAATTTTTGATGCAAATATGGTGTATTCTACAATATTTGCTAGAGTTTTTCACACCTCTTTTGCAACAGGGTTACCAAATGAAGAATGGTGGGGACAAGCTAGTTTAATACTAGAGTAGAAAATTTCAAATAAAATTAAAATTGAAATAATGTTTATTTTGTTGTTTTGAAAAAATTAAGATTAAATAATCCTGCATTGTGATGGCATGGAGACTGTGTTAAACTGCACTTAATAAATCCTTTTTATATTTTTATTCTACATTTACTGTTTCTATGAGCAATGCTACTTATACTTTTTTATCATAGTTTTAAAAAATATTTAAGTTTTAAACCATTTTACTGAGGCATGCTTTTAACACCCTACAGAAAGCTACCAAAACCAAACTCTTAATTTTACTACTATGCTGGCTCCCAGTGTTTCCCCTTCTTCTTTGCTATTCATGACGAGAAACCTAATTTGGCTGAAAGCAGAATGATACATAATAAATCATATTATTTTTATATTTACTGTGTTCACAGAAGTCTTTATGTGGTCTTTATTTTTGCAACCACTGGTTGTAGACATGCACTTGCAATAATAAAACTGTTTTAAATAATATAAATGTTCATATTTTGGCATTATTCAGTTTAAAAATTCAACTTTGAAAAAATTACAGTGTCTATCTTTTTATATGGACTTTAGCTTATATAGTTTTATTTTTAAAAAAATTTATCCTCATTATAAAAAACAAAACACAAAAAGATTGACTTGAGTGTGACAAAAATTAACAGAAATATGTAATTAAAATTTGGGATTTTTGACATTAGTTTAGGATTGCTTTGAAGGGTCTGTCAAAAAATAAAATAAATCGAGGTTAACTTTTTCTGCATAAATGTCATTCAGTGATATTTCTTTTATGATTAATTAGTGTATAACATTCTTTACTTTATAATTTTGTTACAGAGTTTATACTGAAAGATTTATTTAAATAATTTCAAAGTTTTGAAATGGTAAAAATACATTATTAATATTCTCATTCAATTTTGTTACTTTATAATGATGCAGTATACAATTTTTCAACGATACAGTATACAGTTATATAGGTAGGTTATTCTACAGAATTATGTAAAAACATAGTGGAAGACAGTTAAAAAGTCCAACCTATAGCCAAAAAATTACATTGCGATATTAGACAAGAATAAAAGAATACTGATCTCTGGGTATTTTTTCCTTTAAAAAAATTGTGCTTAGGTATAAATAAAGAAAAACTGGTGTATAATACAATCCAGGTATACTGGTGTATAATACAATACATAAACCCTTGCTAGTATGGTGTGTTTTAAATACACCATTGTAAAAGCTAACTGCATAGAAAGTTAAAATACAATGAGAAAGAATAAACTGATGTCATCTAATGATATTCTTTTCAAATGTGGTTGCTTATAAGTTAATTTTTAATAGATTATGAAATGTTTCTTCAAAATTGTATTCAGGACTCTAATTTTGAAATGTGGTTATTAAACTAAAATTAGCTTTCCACCCATTGAAGCTAATTGAGTTCCTAAGAGTTAGATTTTGAAAAAGAAGCATCAGTATAATGTTTATTAAACTAGATTTGATTTCCATTAGTGAAAATTTTGCTGAAATGTTTAAAAAGCAAACTAAATATGCTATTTTCACATATATGCAGGAGTTACTTGCAAAGAAAAAACGTAATGAAAATATGAAGATATTTAGAAAAAATGATGTTAAGATGAGGATCACTGTGATCTAGCTGTTTTGGTTTTCAGCCGTTGTTCAGAGGAGTTAATCAAACTCATTTCATGATTATGAACATTTGATAAAAAGTTTAGTTTTGCTAAGAAATTATTTTGAAATGAACTAGGAAACTTGTTTCTATTTTCAGTTTCCAAATGCATGTAATATTAATGTATAAATGAAGTATTTATATTTGCATTGCATAAAAATATTTTTTTAGGTAATGTTTTTACATGCTGGTCAAGAAATAGGCCCTAGTCCTAAAGAAGATTCTGCAACTTTTATTGTAACAGATAAGGCTCTTCCCCGTTTAATGCCTTATGATAGCCACAAGGTTTCTATTACTATATTGCCTCAAAATACGCGACCTCCAAGGTTGTATTTCAAAAGAGCTATACTTGTTGATGAAGGAAAAAGGTCTGCAGTTACAGAAGAAAATCTTTCTGCATCTGATGATGATACTTTTCCTGGAGAATTGTTAATTGTCATAACAAAGCAACCTGAGCATGGCTATCTAGAAAATTTGAGGCCTACTCCAGGACATGAAAAAAGTGGTAAAAATAAGCGAATTAATGCTTTTCCTTTGCAAGATGTAAAAAGTGGATTCATCACCTTTGTTCAATTTTTTCATAGGTAATTTTCATACATATTTTTAAAACCGAAATTCATTACAAATTTTCAGTTGTTTAAACTTTTTAATATTATTTAAAACTGTAATTATTTCTCTTTCCTTTCTAGAAATATTGAACCAGAATCAGATGTTTTTGAAGTATTTGTTACTGATGGTGTTCATAATTCAACAACAGTGCTTGTTTATGTAAGCATTGTGCTTTTAAATGATGAAGTGCCGTATGTTTTTGTGGCAAATATTTCAGTAAACGAAGGTGATGCCTTTATCATGGATAATGATTCCATTTCAACAAGCGATCGAGATTATCCTGGAGACATACTAGTGATTAGTGTTAAGAGTAAGCCCAAATATGGCACCTTAACACATTTTGTGCAGGCTATTAGCAATGGCCCTTTGCTAGAAATTCCATTCAATCAGTTAGCTGCAGAAAATTTTGAAAGTATTGTTTATCGCCATGATGGTTCAGAGAATTTTTTTGACTACTTTACTTTATCTGTAAATGATGGTGTGCATACGGTTTTACGAACATGTTTTGTTGAGATAAATCCTGTAAATGATGAATCTCCTGTGCTAAAGAAAAATATTGCCGCAGAAAGAGTTGAATTCCTAGGATCTTTCACCTTGTCCAGTGCTGTCTTGTTTTCTGAAGATGCAGATTCTACTCCTGATGAAATATATTTTGAAATTATAAGCGCTCCTAAATTTGGTGTTCTGGAGAGAAAAGGTACTGACACACAATGGAAACTACTGGATTCTATGAAATTTTCACAAACTGATATCAATTCGAATCTTATAAGGTAAGAAAATCTTTTTATCTGGAGAGAAAAGTGTGAAACTGTGTATAATTAAATTTCATTTGTGTTAATTAACACAAATGAATTTAACACTTGAATGTAGTTTATTTCCCCTGTTTTAATATGCTCGTGAATAGAATTCACATGAAGAATACTTTTGTCATTTAATATTGGGAATCCTTTTGCAACTAGCTATAGTTTTGAGATTTCTCAAAATTATCAAAAGTGTACTTTTAGAATAGAAAAAGTAAACTTTGTAGACCGATTTTTAAGTATGTATGTCAAGTAAGGACTTTGTGTTTTAGTGAATACTGACAACTTATAGCTTCAGTAACTTCAGTTTTATTTTATTGTAAATAAAACAAGCTGAATTAGTGTTTTAAGAGTGATCAAAGAGGTATCATTAGATAAGACTTTTGAAATGCTTGCTACAGCTGACAGTGTTAATGCTTTTTTAGATTCTCACCATTTCCTTCAGGGGGTTACTTTTTGCAAGTACAGGTGTGGCAATCCCGAGGTACCCTAGCCCTTCAGGAAATCATCATCTTGAGGAGATGAGTGTTAAGATCCTGGAACCCCAGTGATCTGTCCTCTTCTTCGTCTTCCCTCCGCTCTGAGAGGAAAATTTTTACCCTCCATTCTCCCTTGTGGTTTTCCTCTTCGGAGGCTGGGGCTCATCATGAGAAACCAGAACAGTTTTTGTCTCTAGTTTTCGAGTGGTGAGAAAACTGCCCAAGTGTTTGCCGTGCGTGGATACCAATGTTACTGGAAAGGAGAGTCCTGGTAGTTGAGGGGCGAGGTACTGTCCCCAGCACTCTGCTTTTGGCTTATGCTTCAGCTAAACGGGAGGCACCTTGTTCTCACGGGTGTCAATTGACTGGTCACTAGTCCTTGTGTCAGTGGCTTGGGGATAAGTTCTCGGGAGTACATGCTTTTGGGAAAATCGACTGTGGGGCTTCAGTTTGGGTGTAGATGCAACTAGCTCTAATACAGGAATCTGTGTTGCCATGTTGGGCTCCATAGTAGGTGAGGTGATCAGACCTGAATTTTTTTCTCTTCATTATGGCTAATTCATATATATATTTAATTAAAGACTTTGAGAGATTATTCGCAATGTGCCATATGTTATAAGTCACCCTGAATCTGATCATGTCATTTCAAGTGCCAATCCTCCTGAAACATCAACTGTTAAAAAAGTATGTACTAATGCAGATGTGAGTAATTCTAAAAGTGTTTGCATTTCCTTGTAGTTTCAAGCCCTTCTGGTGAAATGCAAAAGATATCTCCATTTGTAATTAACAAATATATTCATTCTTCCAAAGGTGAGCCAAGAAACATAAAGTGATTTGCTTATCGACACAACTTCAGCTATACAGTCTGCCTCCCTTCTTCGATTAACCAGGCTCAGGCAAATTAATGTAACTGTATCAGCACATAAAGCATTTAAATTTTGTAGAGGCATAATCTTGAAATTCAACCTTCTGTTTGTTTCTGAAGAAGAGTTCATTTTCGAGCTAGCCAATCAAAATGTCTGTGCTGCCAGCCAGTTCAAGATGTGCAAGGAAGGTCAAGTTGATAAACACAAAACATGTGATCCTGACCTTCAGCTCTCCTGATCTGCGTAATGATATTAAGGCTGCATACCTCAATGGTCTCATATGCCCATATATTCCAAACCTGATGTGATGTTTTCAATTCCAGCATTTTAGTCACTCTAAGATCTGCTGTGGCAAGCTCTGTGCACGTTGCTCTATGTTTGGTCGCAATAGTAACACACGTACTGCTGCCCCACTGTGCATAAATTGCAAGGGTGAACAAGCAGCTTTCTCACGCTCATGTCCCAAATAGAAAGCAGAGAAGGAAGTTCAAGCTATTAAAATTGCAATGAATATATCGTATGCAGAAGCCAGAAGAATAGTTGAAGTCACTCAACCATGAATAGGGTTGCTAGTGCTGCAAAATTAACACGATCTTTTGGTATCCAAACATCAGTTAGCAAACAAACACCAGCACCTGAAACCCAACCAATAATAACAACCAAGGCTAAAATAGACAAACCAACTCACGAAATACAGAAAACAGGATCAATAGTACAAAACAGATTAAAAAAACTCACCAAAAAGTAACAAACAAACAAAGAATTGTCAGTAACAGTTCATTTGATGAAATGATGTCGAACTCTATTGATTCGGATGATATGGAAGTAAAGAATTAGGTTAGAAATTCCCAAACACCTACTTCCACACAAAACCAAAACACAGCACAGAAAGAATAAACACTATTCATAGTAGCCACTCTCATATCATGGGAACTATCGTGATTTCTATAAAAATCTCATTAACATCAAGCATCTGATCCATGTCTATCATCCTGTGTGCTTGGCAGTCTAGGAAACTCTGTTAAAATCAGAACATCAGGTTAAGCTACAGAGGTATTGTTTAAACAGAAATGATAATAATTATGGCAATCATGTCTGTGGAGGCATAGGAGTTCTAGCTTCACTTGACTACCCTTCCAGCTCAATCTCATTATGAATGAACCTCTAAGCTGCTGTAGTCATACAAGTTAATATAAGAAATTTAGTTTCGATTTGTTATCTCTATCTGCCTCCCAAGTCAACACATTGATCAATGAGATTTAACTTCTTTAATAGAACAGCTGCCTGAACCCTTTATCATAAAAAGTGACTTTAATGCACAGAGTCCCCTGTGGAGAAGTAAAGATATAAATTCTCAAGGCAGACAGATAGAGCAAATGATTGAGGATCACTGCCTTTGTCTCCTCAACGGTAGACAAAATACTTCCACTAGCCTACAAGAAAGTTTTACGTTATTGAACTTGCCATCTGTTCACCATCTCTTTTACTTTTTAGTTCATTCAGTGTAGGGAATGATCCTTATAATAGTGACCATCTTCCCATCATTATAACTCGTGCACGAGAAGGAGTAAATCCCAAGTTTAGAGCCCCCTAACTTCATATATGACAGGGCAAGACAGGGAACTCTTCTCATTTATTGCAGAGCTCACAGAAGAAATGGTTACATATGTGCTTATCGATGAAGAAGTGAAATTGCCTACTGATATTATTATGCAGGCAGCTGCAATTTCTTTACCTATGACATCAGGAAAAGTAAGAAAATATCCAAAGCCATGGTGGAACCATGAGTACCAGGAAACTCTGAGACAGCAAAGAAAAGCTTGGGGAACTCTCAGTAGATACCTATCTCTGTCAAACTTTATAGCCTTCAAAAGAGTGAAAGCAAATGTAAGGAAAGTAAGATGTAAGAGCCAGAGAGATTCATGGATGGCCTGTGTGTGTGGGATAACATCATCTATGCCATCTAAACGAGTCTGGGAAAGAGTTCGGAGAGCATGTGGAATATATAATGACCACTCACTTTCCTTTCTGAAGAAAGATGACAGTGGTAAGCTCCACAGAAGAAAGTGCAAACACTATCTGCGAAACATTTGCTGCGGTTTCTTCCAGCAGTGGTTATCCACTAGTAATTGCCTGCCCTTCTCGCTCTTAATAACCAGATGTGGAAGGAGCATATTTTCCCCAAAGCATGGAAAAGAGCTGTTGTTATTCCTATACATAAACCAGCAAAAGACCCAAAGGATCCCTCAAACTATTGGCCATTGCACTTATGAGTTGCATGTGTAAGGTGTTTGAAAAATGGTAAACAGCCACCTAGTTTATTTCTTGGAAAAGAATCATATCATATTGGCATATTAGAACAGTTTTTGAAAAGGAAGAATGACCATGCATAACATGCTTCTTTTGGAAACATCCATTCGTAAAGGCTTTGTGAGAAACCATCTTTACTGGTTTTTTTTTTTTTTTTTTTTCTTTTAGAAAGCTTATGATAAGAAGAAGAAGATTTGGGCATTCCCCGTATCGAGAACTCAATCTCATTCCGGGTCCACTTCCCCTTTGGGCACATCATGGTGGTTCAACCTCCACTATTACCCATCAGGAGAGCAGCGCACCACCTGAGGAAGTACCCCAGGCAGCACCGGTCGTCTAATGCTCCTACCAGTCGCTTGGGGGAGCCCGTTGCAGCGGGACATTACCCAGCGACCCCGGGGGAGACCCCCAGGTTACTAGTACCACGCCGCGCTAGGACGTGCCAGACTCCGAGGCCGGCCAATAAGTGACCTTTCCCAGAGCCTTCAGAACCACCAAGTTCATGAATTTTATACCCCCGTGGCCGAGACTGCCCAGGTACAGATCCTAGCCAGTAGCTTCGCAGAATTCTCTACGTCGACCCCCGGGGGGGAAGCTTATGATAAGGCATGGAAATATGGTATACTTTGTGATCTTCACGACTGTGGCTTGTGTGGCAACCTGCATATTTCCATAAAAAATTTTTTGAGGGCAAGGACTTTTCAAGTCAGTATTGGTGCTGTTTTATCATACGTCTTTTTACAAGAAGAGGGTGTGCCTCTGGGCTGTGTGCTCAGCGTTATTTTGCTCATTTTAAAAATCAACTCTGTCTTAACCCTTTGCGGCACAGTGTGTGCATTTTGGACGCACCTAAAAATTTCCTTCCATACGCACAGAAAAATTGAATCAAAAAGGATTTATAAGTTACTATAGGTTACTCTAAACCTTCTTTATTTATAGTAGATGGCAGCTCAACACAAACCAATCCATATATTTTAGCCATGTTTAGTTTTTTTAAGACCCTCATTTTTCAAAGAAATCTTCCAGATTTTTTTAAGGTATACAGTCAAAAGTCAATCCGAATGTCCATAATCCGGAAGGACCTATAATCCGGACCTCAAAGCTACAAACTTTCTGTACATGCGTCAACGCATGTGCATAATACCTTTATGCATGCACATATGCGTCTACGCATGTGCATAATACGTTTACGCATGCACGTTTAATGTATAACGGACGGTATAAGTTAAGCTAAAATTATCTAATTATCTATTTCAGTTAATGTTGGAGATTGCGTTGTTCCTTAATATTCTAATTGGATCCGGCTTATTATTTT